GCCTTTTGGTAGTTTTGGATTTTTTAATATAATATTTTTTGTGTTTCCATGGCAACAAGTTTGACTTAGACAGAAATTGGTGGTAGTACTCTTTTTCCAGAGCAGAACTCTAAAACCCGTTCACTATTTCTTCACCAAACGTTGCACATAGATAGATCTGGTGGTGAACTGGTTTTGGTAGTTTTGGATTTTTTAATATAATATTTTTTGTGTTTCCATGGCAACGAGTTTGACTTAGACAGAAATTGGTGGTAGTACTCTTTTCCGGAGCAGAACTCAAAAACCGTTCACTATTTCTTCACCAAACGTGGCACATCGATAGGTCTGGTAGGGTACTGGTGCCTTTTGGTAGTTTTGGATTTCTGATTAAAACATTTTTTGCGTTTCCATGGCAACAAGTTTCACTTTGGCTGAAATTTGTGGTAGTACTCTTTTCCGGAGCTGAACTTAAAAACTGAAACACTGTTTCATCACCAAATTTCATACATAGGTAGGTCTAGTGGTGAACTGGTGCCTTTTGGTAGTTTTGGATTTCTTAATATTATAAAATAAAAAAAAATTGCGTTTCCATGGCAACAATTTTGGCTTCAACTGAATTTGGTGGTAGTGCTTTTGTCTGGAGCAGAACTTTGAAACCTTTCAGTACTCTCCTTCCACTTAGTTACATACACGCCAAAACATTCGACATAGTAACTCGTAGACATATTCATGAAGAGTATTTTACCATTGCGGGGAATATTGATGATTTTGTCTTCTTGTTTGGATGTTAGATTGAATTCTTCTCGCTCTAACGTTCGCCGTCTCCTGCTACATGTACGATGACGCCACATATAGCTTACTCTCGTTCTAAAGCAGCTAGAGACACAATAGACTCAGCGTAAGTAATTTTTGCATTATTAGAGTTATATATTTGAATTAATAATAATTACAGTGCTGCAGTCTTGGCTCTGCCTTTGTGCACAGTAGTTATTTTCGAGCCGACCAGTCCTTGTGCTGATTAATGCCGAGCGCCAGGCAGGGACCATCAGGTACCATATTTTAACGTCCTTTTGGTATGACGCAGGGGGGATCGAACCGAAGACGTTCCGCTCTCCGGGCGGACGCTCTAACCACTACACCACGGATGCAGCGCCTTAAGTGTGACTATCGAACAATTCAACCCCTGGACTAAACAACCTTAACCATCTTTATCTCTGATTATGTATCACAGAGTGTCCTTAAACACTGAGTGATCGAGTACATTAACGTTGTTCGGCCTCGTACGTGTATGTGATTCACAAGTCGCTGGGGACGGTGGGGTAGCCTTGTGGTTAAAGCGTTCGCTCGTCTCACTGAAGGAACGGGTTCGATTTCCCACATGGGTATAATGTGTGAAGCCCATTTCTTGTGTCCCCCGCCGTGATACTGCTGGAATATTGCTAAAAGCGGCGAAAAAAACTAAACTCACTCACTCACAATTTTACTGAACATGCTACGTCATGGTTGTTTATATTTGAACTTAGGGGTGTTCGGTTGCTACGATTTCACTATTCAAGACTAAATACATGCATCATTTGAGTTTTACGTTAATCCACAATTATTCTGTTCACCTGGTGCATTTCATGTCACTGATAAAGACCTGTAGACATAAAACAGTGCACTGTCATCTTGTGCCAAGACGTCACCCACGTTCAGATGGGCCGTACAGTTGCACCGCCAAGAAACGGAAATCTACGCACCACTGCACTGTATGCGTGCCAAGGACTAAGAGTCGGTTTAAATAAGCAAAGGTTAGTCATGGTAAAATGGCGATAAACCGAGTTAGTTTCAAACGATTCTGTCTAATGAACGATGAACACTACACAATGTATTACAGAATCAGGTTCTTCTAAATGACCGATGGTCAAAACCTTTCAAAAATAGTGCTCACTCAAGAACTAGTATGGACGTTTGTAGGTAAATGTGATGTATCACCTTCTGTTCTTATGCTGAACAAACCAGGACTGATCTCTCAAGGGAATATAAATGGATGCATCCGTTCTCATGAAGTACAGATCGTTGCGCTAGTTGACATCTGAAGACATCCATTACACTCGCTGCATGAAGAACATTTTACGTTTGTTGCTGTTGTCAGGCAAGCCCGGACCAGACAATACAATGTTTGATATTGTGAGCGACAAGGTTACGATGACACACGATCACCCATGAAGCCTGATCAGCAGCTCCATCTGGTAACCTCTTAAAACCAGGGGCCCGCCTTACACTGGCGTAAGTCTATGTTAAAGTATGGGAGTATACGATCACCTTAGCGGTAAGATTGATTTGTGAAATGGGGCCCAGGTTGGTTGCTGGGGACCAGCTCTAGTCCCAAATCCCCACAGCACACTACGCTTACACACACAATAATTATTTTTCTTAAAGATTTGTTTCTGGAACATTTCCACTGTCAGATCTGTCTTTACTTTTGAGACAATGAGAACTCATGTTGTCTGCTTGCCTCTTTCATGTCTGTTTGTCAGTATTCCAATGATACAGTTCTCTATTCATTGGGTGTGTGTGTGTGTGTGTGTGTGTGTGTTTCTACGTCTATTACTCTCCATACAGCACCTGAAGTGTGACAGACACAACTGACAAGCATTTATTTATCTCTTACAACAAGCATAGTGGCATCTTACAAAGAGTATGGGTTGCACTTGATGTGCTGAGAACAAGACGAGTGGAAGATTTTTATGTCGTTGCTTGTTACAATCAGATCGGACGGCTGTCTCTACCGTTGCGACACTGAGCCTGAGAACTTTAGCGAATGGCCTTCTCCAACGTATTGGTGGTGGTGTGTAGTCATAGCATAGAGCTCAGGTCACAAATCAGTTGAAGTTAAGCAACGTTAGGGAAGGAGAGTCTTTGGATGAGTGAGCGTGTTTGGCAGCTTGACTCCTGAAAGTTTCTAGGACGTTAGTCTGTGGTCTCACCTGTGCATTCTAAAAGACAGTACCTGTGAAGATCCGGGTTAAAACTGGTTTTCAGTAACCAATTCTTGTCATAACAGGCGACTAACGAGATCGGGTGGTCCGGCTCGCTGACTTGGTTGGCACATCGTATCCGAATTGTGTAGATCAATTCTCATGCTGTTAGTGGTTAGTGCTGTTGACCACTGGATTGTCTGGTCCAGACTAGATTATTTACAGACCGCCGCCATATAGCTGGAATATTGTTAAATGCAGCTTTAAACAACAAACAAACCCAACCAATCTAAAGAAAGTGTGTACAGCCATACTTTTCTGAACAAACATAGCATGGCTGTGCATGTCATCAGATATCCGTCAACACGAAATCCGTCAACACGTCATCCATCAACTGGGTTGCATCCATGTTCAGCAGGCTTTGGCTGGGGAATTTCACTGCACATTATAGCAGACATGTGAGGGTGCCAACGTGGAAATTAAACAAACCCCACCCTTCGGTGGCAAACAGTTTTATAACCACTAAACTACCTCGCAGCCCTGCAGACTTCAGTAAAGAGTTCAAATCTCAGTTACCATTTTGTGTCTGTTCAAGTCAGTGACAAATAGCAATAATAAGCAGAAATATTTAACAATCTGACCCAGACAAAGCACCTGTGTGAAGCCCAGCCTTTTGTTATGAGAACATATATATTCTCATAATGTGCCATATATATAATTATAAATCTGATGTGATTCTCAAATTTATTTATCTTTCCTTAAAAATAACTATTCACCCAAAATCTAACGTCATCTTACCACTGACCACTTTTCATTGTCCATATTGTGTGTGTGTGTGTGTGGTGTGTGTGGTGTATTCAAACAACAAAGGGGGATATTTAAATGTAGCTTGGTGTTTTGTCTTATGTCTTTTTCAAGTTAGGTTAAACACAAAGTGCTCAGTACCCAGGTCGGAAGTGTAAGGAAAGGACAAGCCATGTCGGCAAGTTTGAGGTGAGGTGAGGTGAAATTGGGTTTAACGTCGTACTTGAGAATATTTCGCTCATATGACGACGTGCATGCGTGTGTATGTGTATGTGCGTCTGCTTGTACTAGCCCAGACTTAAGCTGGTTTTATAGTGCTAGCTCACTGAGATACCATGCTGCAGTGAAGCATGAATACCCCACTCAGACACAGTATACTGACTCCGAGCAGACCAGTCCTTGTTGTACCCATTAATGCCGAGCGCCAGGCAGGGACCAACACGTACCATATTTTAACGTCTTTTGGTATGACGCGGTCGGGGATCGAACCCGCGACCTTCCGCTCTCCCGGGCGGACGCTCTAACCACTACACCACGGAAGCGGTCTCGGCAAGTTCGAACTGAATATGACGGCATTGAGTAAATTAAGCACGTTGTGCTATTTCATATGATGGATTTATTTGTGGATTTTATTCTGAGGATCTAGTTGGAACATCAATGATTTCACCACAAAGTAAGACTTTTAACAGAGATGCCAACCCTAATTTAGCCCATTGTACACATTGTACCCGTGTGGGGATTTGAACCCGGGTCTTCGGCGTGACGAGCCAACGCTTTAACCACTAGGCTACCCCACCGCCCATTTAATAAAGAATATATAGATATTCTAAGAACTTATTAACATTGTACTCACCTAAATCAGTAGTAAGTATCCACATATTGCTTGATACTGAATAAAATGTGGTTCCAACTTATTGTGTACAATAAATTCAAACCACATATGCTATTGATAATTTAATTTAATGCATTTTTTGGTGTATTTTTACTGCTATCGTAGTCGTGTATTTTGTGTTGTTTTTTCATAACAAATACATCGTATCAGTTGGCATCTCTCCTTTTAACCATTTACACTGATTTTTCATCACATGTATATAGACTGCCACAATTAAAACTATTTTACATTGTCGTGTGATCTCTCTTTGGTATGTGTGGATACATGTTCTGTGGATCCACCCCTAACACTCTGGTGTGACGGGCACTTACTACTGTACTACATCATCATCCAGTAGATCTGCACAAAATCAAGGACAAAACACCTCACAACAGAGTATTTTTATTTCTATCTAAATATGTCAGGAAGAAAATAAACTGCTCAAAATAACAATAACATACAAAGCTATAAATGAAAATAACTACCAAAGCCTTATATGCTCTGAACTCAATAAAGGCAAGCTACAAGCCATCTAGCAACAGTGTTTGCATAGGGCTGACGGTCATGGATAAAAATGACATTAACTCAAGTTTTATCGTCTCTAAAAATGTTTAGTCAATTCATTGGAGCACAGTATGATGAAAATATATTTTACAGAAAAGACAAATATCAAAATTATTTCAAAATAAATCCACCATTTTAAGTCCCAATAAAAGAAATGACATGTTTGACACTTGTGTCAATAGAAATGAAGTTGGTTTGTATATAACACATAGGGTTTGTTCCACTACTTCGTTGATGGTAGACCCAGAACATAAGTAAAATAAGCATATGGAGTAGTTAGTGCGTTGTTTAAGTATTGTATGAAAGGATTTGGGTAGCATTAATATTTATCAGATCACATAACATTAAGACATGCACTTACAAATACAAGTTACAAGAAAACTCTACATGCATTTTATCACATATGTTCAGGTTTTAAGGCACATGTAACATGGGTTTAATTTTTAAAGAATAACTGTCCGGCAGTTTTTATTTTGAATTATTGAAAAAGCTTTCATTCAGATCTTAATTTTCCTCTTCCACACTGTTTAAATTTTCATGACATGTTATTCATTAACATGACTGAAATATACAAATTTAACTTCAACATCCAATTTCTTTCAGTAAAGTTAAAAACTTAGCACTTGAGGATGAATATCAATAATTTATCATCTATTGCACAAGTATAGTTAGAAACAAATAAATCAGATATGATTAAGTCATTGATAAATTCCCAGGCAAAACCTTGGAGAATCAGCAACATTGTTTAAAAAGTGTGTCATGCACAATTATTACCCTATATGCTTGTGGTAGCAGCTACATGGTACATTAGGCTATTGATACAGAAAATGTTCAACACCAGAATCTCTCAGTCAGGACATTGACCTTCACAAAGGTCATTTCTGTAAGGTCAAAAGGTAAAGGTCATTTCTTAAAAACGAATTTGACCTTGCTTTAATAGCAGTATTCCCAGAATCAAAGATTACCAGTTAAAATGAAACTGTTCTTTAGCAAATATTTCCATTATGGTCATTTTAAAACTTTAATGCCATAAGTTTGTAAGTGTGAGATAATGGATGGAGATGAATCATGCTTCGAACATCCTCCTCCTGGTGTTCATGCCTACAGGAATCTGTGCCGATGCCTGTCTGGGAGATCTGGTGTCCAATATGGCTGTAGTTGTGGTTTATGCAGAGATTGCCACCTACAAAAGAAAACAAAAATTGTGGCAAGGTCCCAAAAACACAAATATGGAAATGAAACAAGAACAGAGGTCATGAACAAAGAGGAGTGAGTGAGTGAGTTTAGTTTTACGCCACACTCAGCAATATTCCACCTATATGACGGCGGTCTGTAAATATTCGAGTGTGGACCACACAATCCAGTGATCAACAGCATGAGCATCAATCTGTGCAATTGGGAACAGATGATGTGTCAACCAAGTCAGTGAGCCTGACCACCTGATCCCGTTCACCTGATCCCGTTAGTCGCCTCTTACCATGAAATTAGAAGATACTAAACCACCATACGCATAATACCATTTTTATTAAACAAGTTAATGATTTGGTATCAAACTAGCGAAAGCAAGTTTGATACTAAATCTTTCACGAGTTTTATAAAAATGTTTTTTCACGGATGCAAGTTTTGTAATCTGTTCATTACTCTCCAACATAAATTGATAGAAACTGCCTGTGTCATTGTGATGACTCTCAGCTTTCTGCAAGTCAAGCAAGGTATTAGCATTGTGATGTCATTGAGTTATGTACTCGCTTGTGTTCATCTCAATTGGATATCCTAATTTTCCTTTGAGTAACCATATAAACTGTACCCACCTCACTCAAACCCAGTTGGGTATTTTGTGATATTCCATTAATTGTAAAAATAGTATAAAGTTTAAATGTTATTTATATTTAATCTGTAACATGAGAAACGATCAGAAAGACTGCAAGTTGTCTTGTTCATGTGTTGAAATAGAACCTCTCAATATACCTCAGTCAGTTTATCTATGCACCTTTACGCAAGCTAAGATTTGACATTTTTGCGTGTACGCATGTAAGATCTAACATATTGAGTATTTACAAAAATCCAAGCGTACTTGTACACAATAGACTTAATAAGAACTGAGTTTTCACATAATTTTTTGCGTAATCTACGCAGATATGCAGCTTATCTGTACCTCTGTGTAAAACATTATGACATCATATATCCGGCATCACGTGCATGCGATGTTACTACACAATGTGTAATACATTGTAGATGTATTAAACAGTGATATCCCTTTACTATGTGAACTTGCTGATCCTTGTCAGACATGCTATGTACTTTTCATTTTATTTTTTTTCACAAAGCTAAACACTAATACATATTTCATATGCACATTTATTGGTCACATGACCATTGGCGCTAGTGTATGCATGTACATGCACTGATGCACATTGGCAAATACACATCAATCTCAAATTTAAATTCTGTTTCATATCATTGACATGATTAAGATATTTTATCAAGGATCAAGTGAGTGAGTTAAAATTTTACGTCACATCGGCAATTTTTTCGGCCATATAGTGACAAGAAACATTTAGTTTAACTATAAGAAATATCTGTCGCAAAGCACAGTAAAACAGTAGCAAGTTATCACAATTTGAATCTAAAAACTAACCATTTCAAATCATATAAGACTTTATTCAACACAAAGATCAATATTGCATGTAATACCAATAAAATACGAGCTATATACCACCAGTCACCAGAGCCAGACCGCCTCACTGGGGATCATGATCAAGGATCAGCAGGGGGATCTAAAGTCAATTAGACACTTGTGGTATTCTTTGATAATTCTCTGGTAGACAGATATATATTTATATTTGTAAGATGCTTCGGTAAAGATCAAAGGCGCCGACAGTACTTTATCAGACGATAATGTGCACTTTTTGCATTACGTCACAATGTATTGGCATCACTGCGCCATTCTAGTCTGCCCCCTCATAACCGAACACTTTTGCATTACGTCACAATGTCACCAATGTCACGATGCATGTCAGTTGTCATCATTGCCTACAGTCTCCTACAGTAAACTACTCCATTGCATCCCGTTTCTTGGTTTGCAGTTGCTTCACTCGGCTAACATCACTGTTGGAAACATTATGTTTATGTTTTCCGACAGATGAAATGTCTCAGTTCAACTCACAATTTTACAGCGAGCCGGTAACGTTCGCAATGTTTACATTCCCACAATGCATTCGTAGAATGTCGCATGACTAGTCAGCTTCATCTGGATGTACTGATCTAAACTTACGTAGTTAGTTAAAATGCAACATTCATATTGCCTCATATGGTTTACGTTAATAACAGATGTAATTAAAATAATTTAGAGAAGATCAAACCGTCATCAAACTGTTTATCATTTGTTTTTCTGGCAATGTTCGTCTTAACATAGGGGGGCAGACATGTCAATAGAACAGCGCGTCAGTTAGCCCTGTGGGATGATTTTTAATTTAGGTCATCGACACTGTCGTTCATTTTCTGCCTCAGATTAATCGTAATTATCCTTAGAAAGTATTAAATTTAGCATCTAAGAAAAGAAATACAGTTCGCCCTACCACCATGTATAGTGTAATAAAGCACACTTTCGCCCTGAACTATTATAACGTTAAAGCACTCGGACGCAAACGTCCTCGTGCTTTAACTGTAATAGTTCAGGGTGAAAGTGTGCTTTGTTACACTATACATGGTGGTAGAACGAACTGTATTTCTTAAACACGTATTTCCTGTAATTAATGCTGTCATACAAAAACCTCTTGATCCATTCACCTGACTGCAGTATTTTGGGGTTGTTTTTATCTTATGTTAATGCTTGATCAAACTATCTCTCTACTTGCTTCAGGTACATTGTCAGTACCAGAATGTGACAGTGATATATAGATGGACAATATGTACATGATATATTACAAAGAATTTTTTTATTTTTCTCGACATATGGACAAGGCATTTTTGGGTCAGAGTATGAATATGTATACATATATGTACATACCAAGCAACAATTTGAAGTATTTTCATCATTGCATTGGCCATTTTTCCTCAATGTTTGCAATATTGCTAGCCATTAAGTGTTGAACAATATGTTTAATCATTTTTAAGAATCCATAAGATTTAAGTTTATTATTTTTAATACCAGAGATGTTTATATTTCTTTTTGCAGATAAGAGAGTACTATTCCAGAAATTACAGCCAGTGTTAATTTACAGAAGCATTGCAAAGTCAGTGAAAATAGCACTGAATATCAAGTTGCCTTGAAATATACAGAGTTATATTATATACTCAAGAAAACAAATAATGGAACACATGAAAGTACAAGTGTTCCTTTATTTATTTCCAGATTTTCACCCACATTGCAATACATACCTTGTGAAGAAACCTGGAAAAGAATAAAGGAACACTTGTACTTTCAAGCGTTACCATATGTTTCCATGAGTATATTATAATCTATTTTGGCTGCTCACAGGCGCTTTGTTTTTTCCTCGATCATAGGATGTCAATCTCAACGGCACTTTGTACTATCAATCTCAACTCCCTGGGGATCATACAACTTTGTCCAAGTTTACTGCACTTTGATCTACCCACAACCAGGCGTTTGCACGTATTCATGTGGCCACCATCTGGTCATTTACCAACGGATTTGTGGGTTCTTTTAAGTGCACAGTGTTGTATACTGTACACTAAGGGATGTGAAAACACTGAAAGAGTCTGCACACAAAGTTGACTCCAAGGTTTTCACACCTGGTCAAAGGTGGGCTTGATTCCGGCACCTCAAGCTCACTGGATTACTAGCCTGGTGCCTTAGAAAGCTCACACCCCACCACACCCCAAAGTTAGATAATCCCAGACATTTTTCACATGCTCACAGGAAAAAAAAGAGATATTTTCTGTTCTCCAAGTTATCCTCACAGAAAGTACAGGTTTTTAGTTAATACTTTCATCTTTCATAATTCATTTTAATGTATTCTAAGTGGTGAATTAGATTGTATTGAAAGTCAAACAACTTAGCACTATTAGCACTTATCTTCTATAATGAGACTTCATAATTCCACAAACATGTAAGTTTAGTTTTACGCCGCTTTGAGGAATATTCCAGCAACAGCATGGCGGAGGACACCAGAAATAGGCTTAACACATTATACCCATGTGGGAATCGAACGCGGTTCTTCAGCGTGATGAGTGAACACCTTAACCACTAGGCTACCATACCCCCTCGTGAAATATGTGTAATGTTTTCCCATTTTGTACATATTGCTGGTACAGTTTGTGCTTTCATAATGTTCCGGGGAGCAACTCCATCACAGATTATCCAAAACTAGAATACTGTCCAGTTTGTCTGTAGTGACCCACTTACCTGGAAGGCAGTTGACCTTCCCCCTTCCTTGATGACCGTCACAGGAGTGGCCAGCTTGGGTCTGGTGCTCATGTACACCTGGAAAAAAAACACAGAGTAAGGCAAAAGATACTGACAAGGAGAACAATATAGAACAAACTTTATGGATAACAACTTCTTTTATTCTTGAGTGCGACGTTTCGTTACAGATTCTTGTACCGTTGTCAAGCATCTGTATCGAAACGTCGCACTCACGATTAAAAGAAGTTGCTGTCCATAGAGTTGGTTCTATATTGTACTTCCCAACTTCTAAAATGCCACTCAAAGAAGAGCTCAAAGAGACAAATATATTTTGGGGAAATAAAACTTGTTGTTTTTATATATTTGTCTCTTTTGGACAACCATATGTTGATGATGACAAGAGTTTAATGTATCTATGTCTTAAGAGGCTCAAGAAGACAGCAGTAAAGTTCTTAGATTTGGAAACCATTTAATAACTGAGATCTTCCCCAGATACTTTAGCTCTTTTGTATGTCTCATTAATATTTGTAAGATAAGACAATAAATTTGACGAAAGAAAAAAATAATAATACATTAAATAGATGACAGAACATTTCATCACAGCAAGCTAATAAATGAGGTATGCTATTTTTTCCTTTTCCAAAATTCATACATTACATACTAAAATAGCTGAGTTACTAGCAAAACTACATAACTGAACATTTGCTTGTTTTCAGTAAATGATCCGCTTTCAGTTAGCGATCCAAGTTTCACATCTTCACATTTCTACTTTTGAACAATGTTGCAACCATGACGACTAAAACAGAAGTCAGAGCAGCCATTACCTTACTGATGTGCCTTCACTAGGCACATCCCAGATAGCATTCGGACGTTGGCAAAAGCATTGCCAACGTTGGGCCAACGTCTGAATTCTATCTGGGATGGGGCAACAAGACATAATATTGTTTATAAAAACAACATTTTGATGTGATATACAGCTATAGCTTACAATACCAGTGCTACACGTACACAGTGACAAAACTGAAGGTTGGATTATAGGGACTTATTGTTGCAAGGTCCTAGTTAGACCCATTGCAAAGGGAAGTAACTCTGACTTGTGCGATTTTAGTAGCCTACAGGAACATCACACACTGTACAATGCATGACTAAAAGTCAGTTCTTACAATAAGCATATAGACCTCGTGTGTGGCAATGTCACAATTAGATCCACAGAGTTACTTCCCTTTGATACCGACATGAGACAAAGCCAACAAACTTTGCAGCGAACAAAGACATCAAAAAGGAACAAGTGGGTGGGTGAGTGAGTTAGGTTTTTCACAGCTTTTAGCACTATTCAAGCATTGTTTCACCAGTAAAGGGCTTCAAACATTTTGTCCCCATCTGTTGAATCCAACCCTGGTATTTGTGATAATGAGTGAACACTTTAACCATCAGACTAATCACTGTGTATCTTATGGAGTACGGACAATTCCCCATCAAGACAATTTCCCACTAGGACAATTCCCCACATGACATTTCCCCATCTTGACATTTCCCCACACCTGTTTTGTACCCAGTAGAGCAATTCCCCACACCCATCACAAATTATGAACAAACACAAGCTGAGATTGTATTAACATAGTTAAGAAGTTATACATATATAAAATTATATAATCAGTTCACTCAGTTTAATGAATTCATTGTCATCAGATCACTCAGTTAAATGAGTACATTGTCAGATTGATTAACTTGAAATTCTGACCAACATACCCCAAATGCACAGATTAGTTAATCCCATCGCCCCTAACAAGTGAATACACATAACACACAGATTAGTTAATTCAATCACATCTATTGTACTACAATTTTATGATGAGTGGGGAATTGTCCTACTGGTTACAAAACAGGTGTGGCGAAATGTCAAGAAAGGGATATGTCATTTGTGAATTGTCCTAGTGGGGAATTGTCCTGATGGGAATTGTCCTAGTTGTGGAATTGTCCTAGTAGGGAATTGTCCTAGTGGGGAATTGTCCTACTGGTTACAAAACAGGTGTGGCGAAATGTCAAGAAGGGGATATGTCATGTGGGAATTGTCCTAGTGGGGAATTGTCCTGATGGGAATTGTCCTAGTAGGGAATTGTCCTACTGGTTACAAAACAGGTGTGGCGAAATGTCAAGAAAACAGGTGTGGCGAAATGTCAAGAAGGGGATATGTCATGTGGGAATTGTCCTGGTGGGGAATTGTCCTGCTGGGGAATTGTCCAAGTGGGGAATTGTCCTGATGGTTAAATGTCCTACACTCGTATCTTACATGTGCACGAGGGAGTCCGTTCCTCTTCTCTGCTGAGGAAGCACCAGAGCCGATCCAGACGAAGACTTCTGAGGGTGTGTCCAGGAGGAAAACATCCTGTAACGTTAAAAATGATCATAGCATCATCATCACCAACTCCTGTGACACCTCTCTCACACAAATCATGGTGTGGTGTAACAACATGCGAATCAAACCTGGGACTCTACTTAACTCTGCAACACACTAACTACTTGACTATCATACATCTCCATTCCAAAACGTGACCTCATGCTAGGAGACTTCTTTGAGAAATGTAGAATGAGAAAGTCATTAGTTAGTGACTGACATATCCAGTTGTACTCCAGCTCTATGAATACTATAGTAAAGTGGCTTACAATTATAGACTGTTTGCTGTGAAAACGTTCGATGAATTTCACTTTAAACAGAAACGTAAATCGAATAAAGTGAAATTAAGACTGCTAATCCTCATAATCTTACTGTGCCAGTTGAACATTTAAATCTAAGAATTTTATTCAACTTAGGATAAAAGTTGTTTAACAAACGATTATAGTTTCAAATCGCTATTATTGGTTTGTATTACAAGGGGGTATGCAAATTAAATAAAAACACCGAGCACAAGTAGGGTTGGTCTAAGTTAACGCTCATCACGTACCGCACGTACATTTGTTTCACTGTTCCAACTACTGCGCTTACCCCCTTGAAATACAAACCAACAATAACGATTTGAATGTATGATCATTTGTTAAACAACTTTTTTCCTAAGTTGAATAGTATTCTGAGATTTAAATGTTCAATTGGCAAGGTAAAATCACGAGGATTCGCAATCTTAATTTCATTTTATTTGATTTACATTTTTATTTAAAGTGAAATTCATCAGTACGTTTTCACAGCAAACAGACTATACACAGTTTTAAGTAACTAAAAGAAAAATCTTGTTGAGAATGCCACTTACCTCAGAAACAAAGTCGTCCTTACTAATATCTCCTGTCTTGACATCCTCAAAGACACCCTCAGCATTCAGCCTGGAGAGGAAAAGAAACATCATTCTACAAACATCAGTATTCAGTCTAGACATAACAGCTAGGTGATGTTTATTCATCTTTCACCGATCTGGTCTACAGGAACAGAAAGCGTGACACTTCACTCATATCAATATACTGCCATGATATATTCTCGGGGTGATGTTTATTCATCTTTCACCGATCTGGTCTACAGGAACAGAAAGCGTGACACTTCACTCATATCAATATACTGCCATGATATATTCTCGGGGTGATGTTTATTCATCTTTCACCGATCTGGTGATGACACTTCACTCATATTATTCATGATATATTCTATTCATCTTTCACCGATCTGGTCTACAGGAACAGAAAGCGTGACACTTCACTCATATCAATATACTGCCATGATATATTCTCGGGGTGATGTTTATTCATCTTTCACCGATCTGGTCTACAGGAACAGAAAGCGTGACACTTCACTCATATCAATATACTGCCATGATATATTCAGGGCGTGATGTTTATTCATCTTTCACCGATCTGGTCTACAGGAACAGAAAGCATTCTACTGGGTGATGACACTTCACTCATATCAATATACTGCCATGATATATTCTCGGGGTGATGTTTATTCATCTTTCACCGATCTGGTCTACAGGAACAGAAAGCGTGACACTTCACTCATATCAATATGATTGCCATGATATATTCTCGGGGTGATGTTTATTCATCTTTCACGGGGTGATGTTTATTCATCTTTCACCGATCTGGTCTACAGGAACAGAAAGCATGACACTTCACTCATATCAATATACTGCCATGATATATTCTCGTTTATTCATCTTTCACGGGGTGATGTTTATTCATCTTTCACCGATCTGGTCTACAGGAACAGAAAGCGTGACACTTCACTCATATCAATATACTGCCATGATATATTCTCGGGGTGATGTTTATTCATCTTTCACTGATCTGGTCTACAGGAACAGAAAGCGTGACACTTCACTCATATCAATATACTGCCATGATATATTCTCGGGGTGATGTTTATTCATCTTTCACCGATCTGGTCTACAGGAACAGATAGCCTGACACTTTACACTTATCAAAGAAATGCTATGATACATTCTCTAGGTGACGTATATTCATTCTTTCACTCATCTGGTGTACAGGAACAGGATCGGTCACATTGCACACACGCGCACGCACGCAGCACACATGCACGCACCCACACACACTTCTGCTATTACCAGGCTACACATATATTGGTTTTATAGTGCCAGCCCATATCGGTACTGCCATGATGCATCTGGTCATTTTCACTACCAAATCACCATCTCGGTCAGTTGTAACTACCATAGGTCTCTTTGCACCTGTTCTGATTTAGAATCTCTCCATTGGAAACAATAATACAGATAGTCTTGAACCACACACAGCAGGTACTTCATTAATAATGCAACGCTGGGCCTAGACTTTCGAAGCTCTCTTAGTGCTAAGATAGTCGTAATACCGTATATTACCGTAGATAAGCCGAATTTTTAGGTGAAAAAAAATAAGATATAATTTCACGAAAGTATTTTTCAGGTAATGGTAATGTATGGCACTTACGACTATCTTAGAGCTAAGAGAGCTTTGAAAATCTAGGCCCTGGCATGAATTAAGACAATATATAGGTTATGCCTGTCATTTTCGGTATTCGACCTAAACATACTTCAGAATACAGACCATCACTGTCAAGGTCTGCTGCACTTACTTCAAGAGTTTCTTCTCTCCATCAGCATCCTCATCCTCGTCATCACTGTCGCCATCGACATCTTCTTCAGTCAGAGCATCGAAAAACTCGGGCTGAAACATAACAAGTTATGAAGATGGTCATTTATACAGCAGAGTCGCAATTCTTCCCAGGAAAAACTACAACTTGTGTCTTCAACAAATGTTCACATTTTGAAGGGATTCACATTGTATTTGAAAAGAAATCTCTATGCAAAATGATTCCCATAACACCTAACAAGACAATCATCTGTGATGCAGTACAGTCACCTAACAAGACAATCATCTGTGATACAGCACAGAGTCACCTAACAAGACAATCATCTGTGATACAGCACAGTCACCTAACAAGACAATCATCTGTGATACAGCACAGAGTCACCTAACAATACAATCATCTGTGATACAGCACAGTCACCTAACAACACAATCATCTGTGATACAGCACAGTCACCTAACAAGACAATCATCTGTGATACAGCACAGTCACCTAACAAGACAATCATCTGTGATACAGCACAGTCACCTAACAAGACAATCATCTGTGATACAGCACAGAGTCACCTAACAAGACAATCATCTGTGATACAGCACAGAGTCACCTAACAAGACAATCATCTGTGATACAGCACAGTCACCTAACAAGACAATCATCTGTGATACAGCACAGAGTCACCTAACAAGACAATCATCTGTGATACAGCACAGAGTCACCTAACAAGACAATCATCTGTGATACAGCACAGAGTCACCTAACAAGACAATCATCATTGATACAGTACAAGACAGTCACCTAATACAGTAATCACTAAACAATCATTTGTGATACAGCACAGTCACCTAACAATACAATCATCTGTGATACAGTACAGAGTCACCTAACAAGACAACCATCAGTGATACAGCACAGAGTCACCTTACAAGACAATCATCTGTGATACAGCACACAGTCACCTTACAAGACAATCATCTGTGATACAGCACAGTCACCTAACAAGACAATCATCTGTGATACAGCACAGAGTCACCTAACAAGACAATCATCTGTGATACAGCACAGAGTCACCTAACAAGACAATCATCTGTGATACAGTACAGTCACCTAACAAGACAATCATCTGTGATACAGCACAGTCACCTAACAAGACAATCATCTGTGATACAGCACAGTCACCTAACAAGACAATCATCTGTGATACAGCACAGAGTCACCTAACAAGACAATCATCTGTGATACAGCACAGAGTCACCTAACAAGACAATCATCTGTGATACAGCACAGTCACCTAACAAGACAATCATCTGTGATACAGATACAGCACAGTCACCTAACAAGACAATCATCTGTGATACAGCACAGAGTCACCTAACAAGACAATCATCTGTGATACAGCACAGTCACCTAACAAGACAATCATCTGTGATACAGCACAGTCACCTAACAAGACAATCATCTGTGATACAGCACAGTCACCTAACAAGACAATCATCTGTGATACAGCACAGTCACCTAACAAGACAATCATCTGTGATACAGCACAGAGTCACCTAACAAGACAATCATCTGTGATACAGCACAGAGTCACCTAACAAGACAATCATCTGTGATACAGCACAGTCACCTCTAACAAGACAATCATCTGTGATAACAGCACAGTCACCTAACAAGACAATCATCTGTGATACAGCACAGTCACCTAACAAGACAATCATCTGTGATACAGCACAGAGTCACCTAACAAGACAATCATCTGTGATACAGTACAGTCACCTAACAAGACAATCATCAGTGTGATACAGCACAGTCACCTAACAAGACAATCATCTGTGATACAGCACAGTCACCTAACAAGACAATCAGATACAGCACAGAGTCACAAGACAATCAACAGTCACCTAACAAGACAATCATCTGTGATACAGCACAGAGTCACCTAACAAGACAATCATCTGTGATACAGCACAGTCACCTAACAAGACAATCATCTGATGATACAGCACAAGTCAATCATCCTAACAAGACAATCATCTGTGATACAGCACACAGTCACCTAACAAGACAATCATCTGTGATACAGCACAGTCACCTAACAAGACAATCATCTGTGATACAGCACAGTCACCTAACAAGACAATCATCTGTGATACAGCACAGTCACCTAACAAGACAATCATCTGTGATACAGCACAGTCACCTAACAACACAATCATCTGTGATACAGCACAGTCACCTAACAACACAATCATCTGTGATACAGCACAGTCACCTAACAAGACAATCATCTGTGATACAGCACAGTCACCTAACAAGACAATCATCTGTGATACAGCACCTAACAAGTCACCTAACACAGCACAATCACTAATCAATCATCTGTGATACAGCACAGTCACCTAACAAGACAATCATCTGTGATACAGCACGGAGTCACCTAACAAGACAATCATCTGTGATACAGCACAGTCACCTAACAAGGCAATCATCTGTGATACAGTGCAGAGTCACCTTACAAGACAACCATCTGTGATACAGCACAGTCACCTAACAAGGCAATCATCTGTGATACAGCACAGTCACCTAACAAGACAATCATCTGTGATACAGCAGAAAGTCAACAAACCTGACAATTATCAGCTGGCGGTGTTAAAGTATTAGGGCGATGTGGGCCAATAAGATGTCTCTTTGCACCCAAGTCAGCAATATTCCATCTATATGACAGCGGTCTGTAAATAATCCAGTCTGGACCAGCCAATCCAGTGATCAACAGCATGATCATCGATCTATGCAATTGGGATACAATGACATGTGTCAACCAAGTCAGTGAGCCTGACCACCTGATCCCATTAATCACCTCTTACGACAAGCATGGGTTACTGAAGACCAATTCTAAAACATGACTTCAGTTTGCCTGGTCATGTCTGTTTATGCCAATTATATTTCTGTGTGCACAATGGCCACATCTACAAGATTATGTTGTGTGCTGGAGTAAAACGGTATTATTGGTGGTGCTTTCCTTTAAAGAGGTGAAACATTTATCTCATACGTTGTGTCATATAGTATGTGAGACTCAGTAGTGAATGCTGAAGTCTAAACTCACACATCCATCGCCCTCCTCGATGACGGTGTCATCGCTGGATCCTCTGTCATTCTTCAGTTTACCCATAAATTCCATAGCCTGCAACAACAATGTTTTCATTGTCAAAATCACCATCAACATCATTACCAACATCAACAATATATCCAATATCAACAAAATTATCATCATCATGATGGTGAATATACTACCATCATCATCATCATCATCATCATCATCATCATGCTGAATAAACTATAGTCCATTTGGCTCAAAATCGGACCGATGAATTGCAATCTAACTCGAAAACTAATAAACATATAGTACTCAATGAAACACTGATCATAATCAAAACATCAGACCAACTCTGTGATTTTTGCAGAATTTATATCCTAAAAATAAAACAGTTGCTTAACAAACTATTATTAAATTTTTGACACAGTTCACTATTTGTTACGAGGGAGGGGTGCAAAGAGAGGAACAGTCAGGTGTGCGAGAAAGGATGGAGACAGCACAGCACAGGTTAATGAATCAATGACTTTGTCGGCACTTGTGCTGGCTGTTCTTCTCTTTGCAGTCTTTGATGTTTTGATTATGATCAGTGTTTCACTGAGTATTCTATGTTTAGTTGTTTTCGAGTTAGATTGCAATTCATCGGTTTGATTTTGAGCCAAACGGACTATACTAACATCAGCATCATCATTTTCAATATTCTCTATTTTACGTTTTACAATGAATATATGCATTGATCTATGTCATCTATGCCAGTGTCTAGTTATTAGTCCTAAGTCAGCTGCCAGAGTAGTGCTGTTTTGCTCAGCTACTAGCGCAAGCGAGCGAGTTTGGTTTTACGCCGCTTTTAACAATATTCCAGCAATATAAGGGCAGGGGACACCAGAAATGGGCTTCACAAATTGTACCCATGTGTGGAAAGGAACCCGAGTCTTTGGCATGACGAGCAAACGCTTTAACCACTAGACTACCCCGCCACCCCTCATCTAGAAGTAGCAGGAATAGGTAACATGGAACATGTGACTGCTTAAGTGTCTACAGTATTCCACTGTTGCCCTCATGAACCTTTGAATGACTCAATGAGTGAGATGAACAAACACATATTCTTACACAAAACTCACCTTGGACTTCTCCATTATGTTACAGCCACTGCCATTGTACTGGATAAACCTCTTGCCGAGGTCGAGGATGTACACATCTGAAGACTTGAGCGAATTCTTGCTGAGTGTCACCTACAGGACAAACTGACACTGATGATTCGAACAAACACTCTTTTATGACAAAGTATGTCAGCTTAATGTTGGCAGAAGTTTAAATCAATGATGTTTATATGTCCATCACTTCAGTGAAACCCACAACGATGTTAATATCAGTGAAACCCACCACTACCATCCTATCAGTGAAACCCACCACTACCATCCTATCAGTGAAACCCACCACAACTATCCTATCAGTGAAACCCACCACTACCATCCTATCAGTGAAACCCACCACAACTATCCTATCAGTGAAACCCACCACAACTATCCTATCAGTGAAACCCACCACAACTATCCTATCCGTGAAACCAGCGTTGCAAACTCCCGCCTGCCCGATCGTCCGGGACGGTCTGTTTTGCAACCGGACGGTCAGTTTTAAAAAGTTGCACGCCCCATGGTCTGGCTGTTGAATCAGCGTAATTTTGAAACCAGGAAGTATACTTGAGTTTTGTCGCCATTGTGCGATTGTGTCCTTGCCCCATTTAGCCTCGTTTTGGTACAGATATGAATATTCATGAGGCCTCATTAAGAATGGTCAATTGTTGATGTTCAGAGCTTTCGAACGATACCCGCCATCAAACGATTCGCCTCGCATGTTATTCATACGAAGCTTCGAAAACGGAGGTATTTTCCGTTGTTGTGTCATGTTACCGAACGGAAAGCCACTGATATCGGGAAATAGGTGACCATACATATTATTTAAGAAATCTTTATAATATAAAGATTTCTTAAATAATATGTATGGTCACCTATTTCCCGATATCAGTGGCTTTTAATAATTTTCTGATTACGTAAATATGAAAATATAAAAGAAAAAGGCACGGGGATGTTATGACATGTCACAAATTGAAAAATATCGCCATAGTTTTTGCTTCTCTTGTGATATTTCTGGACATTATAAATGCTTGAATTTTCATTAAAAACTCAATTTATTTAAGTTGTAGTTGTATTATTTGAAAAATGTTAGAAAAATAAATTTCATATTTATCAACAGTGGGATTAGATCTTTTAATTTTGCTGTATATCTAGAATCCAAGTTGCAACATTAAATGTCATTAACAATTTAGTTATATGATGGCATTGGGATTTAAAAAATGTCAAAAAGAGCTTTAGGTCAATGGCCTATCGCCAGACACCCACTCAGGACATTTGTCCTACTGATTTTTATAGGCTTCAAAATCACTGTTAATCCTGAAAATTCTGGACTGGTAACTTTCCAGCCGGTCTGGTAACTTTTGAGAGTTACCAGACCAGTTGTCTGTCCGAAATTTTGGGGAGTTTACAACACTGGTGAAACCCACCACAACTATCCTATCAGTGAAACCCACCACTACCATCCTATCAGTGAAACCCACCACTACCATCCTATCAGTGAAACCCACCACTACCATCCTATCAGTGAAACCCACCACTACTATCCTGGAAAATATCCATTGCATCAGCATTTATAGGGCGTGTAAGTCTCGAGAAGCCCTACTTCCGGTACTAAGCTGGTTCCCGGTTCTCTTTTCATGCGCCAACTTGCGATATGCAAGACAGGGCCCAGCTTACTTCCAATACCAGATTTCCGGTGACAAGAGTATCTTCAAGAACCAGTTCTGGTTCCGAATCGTGCGACCCCCAATATGACTGTACTAGACCGGACCAAGTGTACAACCATACTTGGCTGTCACAGTCGTAATAGTTGGTGAATTTGGGGATGGAATTTGGAATTTGGAAATCGGAAATTTGTTATTCATGCAAGGATTATCAGTTCTTTACTGTCAACTGACAACCTGGAGACAATACGAAAAGGTATGAAAGGTTATTTGTCACTGGAAGTACTAAGGTCTCGTAAAGCGCCGTGACCTACTTACGAGCCCTATACACCTCATCTCGACTTTGCGTCAACTATATTTCACCAATACAACTTTTTACGTGCTGCTGTCTTTTAGAAATTGACATTAAATTAAAGGCCCTGCTCATCCATTAACCCTGAGACAGAGAACTGTGACAATTGCCAAAGCAGGATTGACTTACCTCCCTGACAGAAATATTCCTTCCTTTCCCATTGAAGTGTAGGAGCCGAGGTTCGTATGTCTCTGGCTCCACATGCCTGAAGCCACTCGCGGCTCCACCCTCCATCGTCCTGTTAAGAGATGTGACAAATGAGTGAGTGAGTGAGTATGGTTTTACGCCGCTTTTAGCAATATTCCAGCAACATCACAGTGGGGGGACACCAGAAATGGGTTAACACATTGCACCCACGTGGGGAATTGAACCTGGCCTTCAAGCATGATGAGCGAACGCTTTAACCACCAGGCTACCCCACCACCCCTGTGACAGAAGAAAAACAAAAAGAACCATGACCAAGTTGAAAGAACACTACACTAGTTGAACTTAAAACCATGTACATCGACAATGTACTTTCCTGAATTTCTTATGGGCCAGAATATATACTCAGAGAAACAAATAAAGGAACACAGGAAAATTCAAGTGTTCCTTCAATACTTTCCAGTTTTCACCACCAGCTTTGAATAGTGCTGTGGGAGGAAATCTGAGAATAAATAAAGCAACACTGACATGAAGCGGTGTTCCCTTATTTGTTTCCCTTAGTATATATGAAAATGCAACATTTATAAAATAATTGACATTTCTGTAAGAGAAGAATATTGAAAACTTCCTCTATGGCTTTTCCTCACAAAGAGAACCTTGACAAAGCATCATAAATTTGGTTTCACCTGGATTTTGTCAAGTAGTTTTGTCAAGGCCACACTCAACAATTTTACAGCTTTATCAAAGTGGGGAGCAATAAATCAAACCTGGACTAGACAATCCAGTGATTGGTATCATGAGCAACAACCCATGCCATCAGAGTGCAATGTCACAAACTAAGCAATCATTGGTTCCTGCGGGCCAATTCTAACCTGGAAGCCTCCAAAGAGCTGAATTTTTATTTCTGAACAACTATATCTATGGTTGCACAATTTTTTCATAAGAAACTAATGATTGTAACAATAACAGTTAAGGTGGGGTGAGGTGAAATTGGGTTTAACGTCACGCTTGAGAATATTTCGCTCATATGACGACGTGCATGCGTGTGTATGTGTATGTGAGGCTGCTTGTACTAGCCCAGACTGAAGCTGGTTTTATTGTGCTTGCTCACTGAGATACCATGCTGCAGTTAAGCATGAATACTCCACTCAGACACATTATACTGACTCCGAGCCGACCAGTCCTTGTTGTACCCATAAATGCCGAGCGCCAGGCAGGAACCAACAAGTACCATATTTTAACGTCTTTTGGTATGATGCGGTCGGGGATCGAACCCGCGACCTTCCGCTCTCTGGGCGGACGCTCAAACCACTACACCACGGAGGCGGTCAATAACAGTTAAGAATAATTGTAAACCAAAAGTCACTGTGCTCCTTAATCTGATTGGTTGAAAAACGTGATCAAATGGTATTCGATTCCCGGAAATTCGCTGCGTATTAATACATAAAAACATCGCTCACACCATTGTATTGTTATGTCGTCAGCTGAGATGACGTCATTCAAATCATATTGTGACGTAAAGTCCGCATGACGTCAGAAATGAGCAGTTCTAGATGCTACCATGGGAGACAGCCGAAACGGCCGGCTGATGACATTGCACTGCTGTACCCGTACTCTATGTCAATGAGTGCAGACACAAAAACGTGTGTGGAGCTTTTGGTTTACTTTTTGTGTTTTACAATGTCGATAAACATCATGTGTTGGCCAATTTCCGGGTGTTATTGAGTATTTGAAGCATCGGGAATATTCCATTTGAAACCTCCGGCTGACGCCATCGGTTCCAAATGAATTCCCGTGCTTCAAATACTCAATAACACCTGGAAATTGGCCAACACATGATGTTTATCTCCTAACTAGAATCTGAGTTAGTGTAGAAAGCAGTGCTTAGAAACTGCATAAACATACATGATGCCACGTGGGAAGTAGGACTTGAAGAGAGATGATTCGTGACCTTGAACTTCCCGATGTTGTACAGCGGCATCATCCAAGAACGTGTCAAGCTCCACAGTCTTGTAGGCAACAGTTCCATATTCATCCTGGTGAGGAAACAGGTATTTCATGTTACCAAAGAAATAATTATTGCCTGAGTGGGAAAAATCTATAATGCAGGAAGTCCTAACAGTAACAAATTTCGTTTGTTTATTCTTTCGTTTCTTGTTGAAATTAAAATTGTAAAGAATTATATTTTCTGCTGTCATCACAAGATCTCTTTCTAACATCAACTTACATCTGTGTTCAGTGGATGTAAATACAGAATATATTGTTTGTAACCCCCAAATCGCAGAACATTAAAAATGTTATTAGTGAGTGATCGAGTTGAGTTTTACGCCACTCTCAGCAATATTCCATCTATATGGCAGCAGTCTGTAAATAATCGAGTCTGGACCAAACAATCCAGTGATTAACATACTATGAGCATCGATCTGTGCAATTGGAATACGATGACATGGGTCAACCAAGTCAGCGAGCCTGGCCACCCAATCCCATTAGTCGCCTCTTACGACAAGCATGGGTTGCTGAGGACCAGTTCTAACCCGCATCTTCACGGGTGCCAGTACATTGCATTTTTCTATACAAGGTATACCTGAGTGCTGTTCTTGCCGATCCAGAAATGGACATCAAATTTGAGTTCTTCTGTTTCCTCCTCCTTGTATGTCTGAAATAGAAATAGGAATTGATCATATCCAGCCTTAATTCAACAGCATAGTTACAGTCATGCAGTCACTACTTATAAGGCAGAATTGCTACATTCATTTCAGTTGTTGAGTCCACTTCAGTATCGCCATAATCTTTTCAATCATAGATTCTACGACAGAATCACTACAATCATAGGCGGATACAGAGGGGGGTGTGCACCCCCCTTTTGTGCTGAAAGTTTGTTAAATGACCATTGAAACTCAGGTGAAAATGAAGTGTGCACCCCCCATTTTCTCAAAAAGCTGTATCTGCCCTGACTACAATAATTTCAGCCATAAATTCTACAACAGAATCGCTGACAGAACAATAAACAGAGCTCCAGATAAGATTTAGCTCATGTGGGTACTGTACCCCCTGTATGTTTTTGGAGTGGGTATTATGAATGTTGAGTGGGTATTTCATTTTCCGTTTCCAACTGATTTCAAATATGTGCTTATTTCAGTCATTTTACTCACCTAAGTATATGCCATTGAGTAAGTTTACTAAGCAGGTATGTTCTGCCTCATGTCATACCTAATCAAAACCAACTTAAACATAATGGAAATGATTTCATAAAAAATCACTCATCCTATACTGACAGTACAACACTAGTCCTATACAAACAGTACAACTTGATAGCAATCGATGTCTTTTTCATTACGCAAGCCATTTTTACAAACATATTCCGAACGCAATTGTTTTAAACTTTTTGCATATCTTACATTTTAAATGCGTAATTGGTACGCAACAATTATTTTTCAATGTGTAATGGAAAATTTCTATGCGTATTTTACCCGGATACGCAGCTTATCTGTGCCTCTGAATAAACATTAATATCTGAATGAATGTGTGACGGACAGTGAGATTTCCTAAAGATCTTCCTCCTGCCATGCATGTCATATTCTTAGCAACCCTACCCAAATGCTTAGCCAGATACATCATGACCTTTTTCCAACGACATAAATAAACAAAAGTTGTTACAACTGTGAGCATGTGCAGGGGTGGAAATAACTTTAAAATTGCTAGTGTACTCGGTACAGTGGCACATGTAAAATCACTTGCCCTGATAATTTTTCCACTATACCGTCCATTTTCTTGTTGATTTTTTAAATAAACAACATAATTAACATTGGAAACTCAACTGGACACCGGTACAGTGTGATATACAAATTTGCTTGCCCGACAGAGAAAAATACTGGACTCGGACGTCGGGTAATGGGTTATTTCCACCCCTGATGTGTTTGGTTTAATGTTGCCTTGAAATGTAGTTCATTCATATGAAGGCATATCAGATAAATATTGGAGGAAATCATGGAGAAATGTGTGTCGTTGATACTTTCCAATTTGGAGAAACCTACAGGCATGGCTATAGGAACTGACGACTTGAAACATAATCAAGGTGAAACTTGGATTCATGTCTGTGATAACAGGTTCCTGGCACATCTAAGGGGGGTAACTCTGTATAGAGATTGACTGATGATGATAACTGTTTTGATGATGCATTAGCTACTCACATTGAGGATGATGTATGAATCACCATTGAAGAATTCACCATAATCCTCTTCAGGCCAGTCTTTGACTTCAAATTGCTGTTGACATAAAATGGGGCAAATTATTACGCTTCACAAGTCGGAATACACGAATGCAACAAAGAGGGTTCATTGGTCCTGGCACAGTCAGGCTGGTTAGGCTGATCATCAGCTCAGGGCCCTTGCCTGCTGTACATGGATCTCAGACAGTGAATGGGATCTCCCAGGAAGCACCCTGTGAAGATCCAGGTTAGAATTGGTCTTCAGCAACCCATGCTTGTCGTAAGAGGCGACTAACGGGATTGGGCGGTCAGGTTCTCTGACTTGGTGACACATGTCATCGTATCCCAAATGTGTAGATCAATGTGCATGCTGTTGATCACTGGATTGTCTGGTCCAGACTTGATTATTTATAGACCCCTGCCACATAGATGGAATATTGCTGAGTGTGGCGTAAACAACAAACCAACCAACCAAATCTACCAGGAACCACTGCCAAGTTGAACCCACCAAGAATTTTTCAGAGAATATGTAGATTCCCCAACACTGAAGCCTACTGCATTGCCCAGAATGACACAGGCACCCTCCTGGTCTGCACCAAGAGAGGAGGTACAAAACCAAGGGCACCAAGAACAATGGGGAGCCAGACAAAAGTGTATTTGGGATGCAAGTGAGACGTTTCAAAGGTGAGGTCCACATAATTATCATGCTTTTCACCGATTATTGCCATCATTATCAGTATTATTCATTCAGTCATTCATCACCATCCTCTTAAACCCTGACTCTCACCTACCCACCTCCACGATCCTACTACTGTCTGACTGTCACCTACCCACCTCCACGATCCTACTAATGTCTGACTGTCACCTACCCACCTCCACGATCCTACCAATGTCTGACTGTCACCTACCCACCTCCACGATCCTACTAATGTCTGACTGTCACCTACCTACCTCCACGATCCTACTAATGTCTGATTGTCACCTACCCACCTCCACGATCCTACCAATGTCTGACTGTCACCTACCCACCTCCACGATCCTACTAATGTCTGACTGTCTCCTACTCACCTCCACGATCCTACTAATGTCTGACTCACCTACCCACTACGACCATTCCATTAAAGCCTGACTTTGTCTACCAGCCTCCAACTGCCTTTTAAACACTGACTGTGTCGGACACTGTCCTATCCACCTCCACCCTCCTATTTAACCCTGCCTTTGCCTACAAACCTCCACCCTCCTATTAAACCCTGCCTTTGCGTACAAACCTCAACCCTCCTATTTAACCCTGCCTTTGCCTACAAACCACAATCCTCCTATTAAACCCTGCCTTTGCCTACAAACCTCCACCCTCCTATTAAACCCTGCCTTTGCCTACAAACCTCCACCCTCCTATTAAACCCTGCCTTTGCCAACCCTGCCAAACCACAATCCTCCTCCTATTAAACCCTGCCTTTGCCTCAAACCAAACCTCCACCCTCCTATTTAACCTCCTGCCTTTTGCCTACAAACCTCCACCCTCCTATTTAACCTCCCCTGCCTATTTTGCCTACAAACCTCAACCCTCCTATTTAACCCTGCCTTTGCGCCTCTGGCCAAACCTCCACCCTCCTATTAAACCCTGCCTTTGCCAAACCACAATCCACCCCCTCCTATTAAACTCTTTTGCCTACAAACCTCCACCCTCCTATTTAACCCTGCCTTTTGCCTACAAACCTCCACCCTCCTATTTAACCCTGCCTTTGCCTACAAACCTCCACCCTCCTATTTAACCCTGCCTTTGCCTACAAACCACAATCCTCCTATTAAACCCTGCCTTTGCCTACAAACCTCCACCCTCCTATTAAACCCTGCCTTTGCCTACAAACCTCCACCCTCCTATTAAACCCTGCCTTTGCCGACAAACCTCCACCCTCCTATTAAACCCTGCCTTTCTACAAACCTCCCCTCCTATTTAACCCTGCCCTGCCTTTGCCTACAACCCCTGCCTCCAAACCTCCTATTTAACCCTGCCTACAAACCTCCACCCTCCTCCACCCTCCTATTAAACTCCCTGCCTTTGCCTACAAACCTCCACCCTCCTATTTAACCCTGCCTTTGCCTACAAACCTCCACCCTCCTATTTAACCCTGCCTTTGCCTACAAACCTCCACCCTCCTATTTAACCCTGCCTTTGCCTACAAACCTCCACCCTCCTATTCCAAATTAAACCCTGCCTTTGCCTTTGCCTACAAACCTCCACCCTCCTATTAAACCCTGCCTTTGCCTACAAACCTCCACCCTCCTACCCCTAAACCCTGCCTTTGCCTGCCAAACCCTCAAACCTCCACCCTCCTATTAAACCCTGCCTTTGCCTACAAACCTCCACCCTCCTATTAAACCCTGCCTTGCCCACAAACCTCCACCCTCCTATTTAACAAACCTCCACCCTCCTATTTAACCCTGCCTTTGCCTACAAACCTCCACCCTCCTATTAAACCCTGCCTTTGCCTACAAACCTCAATCCTCCTATTAAACTCTGCCTTTGCCTACAAACCTCCACCCTCCTATTAAACCCTGCCTTTGCCTACAAAACACAATCTTCTTATTAAACCCTGCCTTTGCCTACAAACCTCAATCCTCCAGATCTTCAGGCTTGGCTCCTGCCCTGCTCCCTGCCAAGCAGGTTCTGACTCTGCAGATTCCTCTGGAACAGGAAACAGACTTTTAGCAAGTAGTTGACAAGGTCAAGAATGGAGAATGGCCCAAACGCTTTGCATTAGAAAACTGTTTCAAACTTAAAACTTCAAACTTCCAATTCCCTATGCATTCAGGCTCTATACATGAGAGTCACCTACTTTCATTGGAGTAATCTCCCTTGGAAAGCATTGGGTTCAGTAGGTGTATTGTTGGCAGTGTGTATTGGTTATTCTCAAATAACAGCATGCTCAACTATTCATCAGAAGTGAGTCTACCAAACCACTACATACTGGGTTCTGGCTGTTTATACATCATGCGGAAAATAATATATGAAATATCAAACAAAGAAATTTTCACGGGGAAAGAATAACAATAGAATTATTTTTTTTAAATCAGAAATCTCAACAAAACTAAACAAATACCAAGCTCACTTGGAAAAATTTGAAACCAGAATGACTTGATTAGCAACGTATGACGACAGTACATATTTAAGTGAGACTTACTTTTGACCTGCTTTTCCGTGTCGGAGCCAAATAGAGCCATGTTGGAATCCTTCCAGTCATATTTCTTGGCTTTCACTAATCCTGAAAAATAACATGTTTGCACATACTGAGATACAATTACACTGGATGAGTCTTTTCTTTCTTTTACAGATATTAGTATCACTTCATTGGCAAGAAACATGAGCCCTTATCCAGAATAAGTCTACTGCCATCTCAAAATAAAAGAAGATTAAACTGAAAATAATCAAAAAATCTTTCATATTTGATTACTACCAAGCCCTTATGATATGTTGGGCAGATCTAATTCGAAAATCTGGACTAGAGTTAGAAGCACACAAACTCTCAACAACATAATAATAATAATATGATAAAGTCAGATTCAGAATGTTTCAAAGATGCTTAATGAAGTGAAATCTACAATACACTGACAATATCATCATTCTAACGCTTAACATAACATGTTTGAGATGAGACGACTGTGAAAAAGACTAGACACAATCAGGGATTGGGAAGGCAGGGGCCATGGGCTATTTTGCACATTAGAATAAACAATAAAATTTTGAAGTTTACTATTGATACACGGGCAATGGCCCATTCTAAATTCAGAAAATGGCTAATAATCCTGATAATGGCCCATTGTCAAAGTTCTCTATCCCAATCCCTGTACAATGAATGACTCCTTACCTCTCATGATTGAGTAGGTGATGAATGACTTCGTTCAGAAACAGTTAACAAATCTGGAACAGAAACACAAACTAATCAAACATTTACCCCACATAGTCAACATCCAGATCAATGGTCAAACAAGAGCAAGACTTACAGAGTCCGAGCTTCAGCAAAGCCAGAGCTATTCTGATACACCTGACCTCATTAAAAAGCTATGACCACGCCTCCTCTGTTTGAGCGAGGTCACATGACCTCGATGGCGGATGGGAGCTTGAGAATCACTGAGTAAACTGTACAAGCCCCGGGCCAGACATTTCACACATAAGATTTGACAGTTCAGTATCTTATCACTGCCCACAGTTCCCGGTGTGGCTGGTGTGCAACACTCCTTGTTTAACGGCTTGCTATTATGAAAATGGAGATTTATGAACATCATTGCGAATTCAAGTGAATGAAACAGAATGGACCGCCTACTCGTCTAAAGTTAACATGACAGAGATAAATATGAAGGACATGGAATGTTTAGCTGTTCTGAATCATGAAGGAATTCCAATAATGGACAGCAAACTGACCTCAGCATCAAACCCAGTTCGTGTGTGCAGCTAACAAACCCACTGTCCACTGAACTAAATAAACCCATCTAAATACCAGCTCATACAAACAGTGTCAGATATTTCATGAACATATCAACATAATAGAAGACAAAATATCCAAGGTTTTCTGAGCACACCAGATACATTGCCCCTGCTGTGATTCATAGCCTAGTGGTTAAAGCGTTCACTCATCACGCTGAAGATCTGGGTTTGATCCCCCACATGGGTACAATGTGTGAAGCCCATTTCTGGTGTCCCCCGCCATGATATTACTGGAACTTTGCTAAAAGCGGTGTAAAACCCAACTCACTCACTCACTCTCACTCATGGACTTAACAAGTCCTGTGTACATCAACTGACTGTAGTGTTCTCAAGTACACCAACAAGTTCATCGTGCCAAGTCAACTTCAAGCTACCCTTTGCATCAGGAAGATTTGATGACAATATAAACAATTAACAGAGGACAGAGGCCACAAGGAAGAACTACTAGAAGATACATCAATTGCACATCCGTGATGCAGACTTCAATGTCTTCCTGAATTATTCCTGATTCAATGACTCTTTTCACTGAAAAAATACATCAGAAGTCACAACCATGAATTTTACAACCATGGATTTCACAATCATGAATTTCACGTCCATAAATCTAACAGCCACAAATTTCACAAATATAAATTTCACAAAATGAAAGAAAACAATGTTGTTTGTTCATTACAGCAGACCCAATATACGATTAGCAACCTCTATCATGAATTTCACGTCCATAAATCTAACAGCCACAAATTTCACAAATATAAATTTCACAAAATGAAAGAAAACAATGTTGTTTGTTCATTACAGCAGACCCAATATACGATTAGCAACCTCTATATTTTACTGTAACAGCAAGGTTTTGGTAGATATGTAGCTATTAAAGTAAATTTAAGAAATGGTTATTCATAAAGTTAGTCTACTCCTTCCGGCAACTTCTGAGCAATGTCTATCAAACAGTTGTTTGTTGTTGAGTCACAATCATTCTTGGTCGTCTGTTAATAATCAAGTCTCGACCACACAACCCAGTGAACACATGAACACCAATATTAACAGTTTCTTTTCAAGAGATCATCAATAACAAAAGGGCTGTTACAATTCACTCTATATTTGGTGAATAAAGTCATATTCTTTCATGAATTCAATTCACAATTCATGATCACTCATATCAAATATTCATATTCAAGGAATATTTTTACCTTCCTTTTTCGAAATTTGGGTGCTGTTAATGAAAGTGATATATGAATAATGGAATACACCAGGGGTGGAAATAACCCATTGCCCGACGTCCACATCCAGTGTTTTTTTCTGTCGGGCAAGCAAATTTGTATATCACGCTGTTCCGGTGTCCAGTTGACTTTCCAATGTTAATAATGTTGTTTATTTAAAAAAGCAACAAGAGAACGGCCGGTATAGTAGAAAAATGATCAGGGCAAGTGATTTTACATGTGCCACTGCACCTGAGTACACTAGCAATTTTAAAGTTATTTCCACCCTTGTACACCCAGGCCAAACAGAATAATTGTCAACAAACCTGTATATTAAATTTGACAGTGATGTGGTCACTGTTCATTGCCCTGGTAATGTACCACTGACATTATAGTCAAAACATGTCAAACATTGTTTCAATGAATATACTGTATAATACGCAAACAACTCACTTCTTATTGCATTTGCAAACCAATATCAATATTCATAAGTCAATATTTTGTACATGCATTATATTCGCCGCATAGTGGAACAAAAGTACTATGCTTTACGAGCTAGTTTTTAACAACCCATGCTTGACGTAAGAGGTGACTAACAGGATCGGGTTATTCCGGGGTAGAATAGGTCTTCAGCAACCCATGCTTGCCACAAAAGGCGACTTTGCTTGTCGTAGGAGGCAACTAACGGATCGGTTTGTCAGGCTCGCTGATTTGGTTGACACATGTCATCGGTTCCCAATTGCACAGATCGATGCTCATGCTGTTGATCACTGGATTGTCTGGTCCAGACTCGATTATTTACAGACCCCCACCATATAGCTGGAATATTGCTGAGTGCGGCGTAAAACTAAACTCACTCACTCAGGCTCACTGACTTGGTTAACACATGTCATCGTATCCCAATTGTGTATATCGATGCTCATGGTCACTGGATTTTCTGGTCCAGACTTGATTATTTACAGACCGCCACCATATAGCTGGAATACTGCTGAGAGCAGTGTTAAACAACAAGCAAACAAAAAAACATAAAAAAACTAGCTTGGTCACTACTTCACCCAAGTTTTACGACCTCAACTAAAACCTCAGACTTTAACCTATTCATAGGATCAACTCCACTAACATTTGTCTAAAAACCTAAAGAAAGTAATTTGGCCACTGGCCATATGCTACAACACGAAGGGTATGCATGTTAGTCATCGACTTAATTGGCCTGAAACAGGTGAAACTGGAAATAACTCCGTGAACATGCATTCCAGGTTTTTCCTTGTGCTATTACACATCCTTCATTGCTTTTATTAAAATTCGAACTGGATCACCTTTCAATATTTTTACCTTAAAATGTGAATGTTTATTTGGTGTGCTAAGCCTTTGTCATCAAAGCTGTGATGTTTGCTGAACAATCTTCCTCCATCCTTGACCTCCAGATGTCTGGGGCACCTGCACTGCACAAGCTATACTAGGCGAAGTGTGAAAGTGCACTTTGCTAGGAAAATGTTTAAAACAAGCAACACATGCAAAGCCGAGTTTTACCTTGACGTGAGTCCCACAAATGGGTGTCCCGGGAACCCCTAATTATTAGTTTAAAGGGTCTTTACAGGCAATATAAGGGCTGTGTGATGTAACAGATTAGAGAACTGTATGTTTTGATAATTTCTGTAGAGCCTGGAATGAATCATTGATAATCTGGACTGATGGGTGAAATGATGCATGTAACTGCTCTCAAAGAAACAACCAAACACTTAGCAAAGTCAAAGATGTCTTGTGGGTACAGTGAATAATATTCTGCATCCCTCTGGACACAATGAATTTTTTTTCTGCGCTCATTCTCTACATTTGTGTGTATTTGACGAACATTTGTGAATCACGAAAAACCCTGCACAAAGTATTTTGTCCCTTGCACATGTTACAAATTCTGTCATGACTTCAGTAAAAACTGGATTCTGATTGTATAATCAAAGGCATTCAGAGGTATATAATCACGTTATATACCTCTGATTTTCCAACACAGTATGTATTTTTTTTTAATCTTAGCGCGATAATGGTAGAATGGACATAAACGTACTGTGTTGGAAAATGTGAAAAAAAAATTGTTTAAGATTGGACTTATTTTATGATAGTTTCAGGGAAATTTTGTTTCACAATCTAATTACTTGATTAGGCTAATATTGAGTTATTATAACACTACGCGTTCGGTTTTAAATCAAATTTAGAGCTATTATAATTTTGTTATATACCTTTGATTTTCCAACACAGCATGTTGATCTCCTAATTATGTGCACAGGTTTGATAACTGTTTACTAAGTATATTGAATGTTAGGTTTATAAAATTTCTCTCCTAAAGAGGAGTGAGTAAATAATTTCTGTTTTGCAAATCCTCGAACTCTATATAAGGGGTTGACGTTTGTTTGTTTGTTTGTTTGTTTGTTTGTTAGTGCTGCATCATTATTCCAGTTATATAAAAACAGCTTGTAAACACATCAAGTCTGAACCAGAATCTAGTGATCGATATGCTGAGCAAAGATCCATGTCATCCTGGTATGTATAAACTCAATCAATCATCATCCATTTGGTCATTACAACCTGAATAGATTGATAGGGGCCTATTCTTACCCAGGACAACTGATACCTCCAAAGTTCAGACCAGTGTTTTAAGTAACATTATTATTATACTAGATTTGGGAAAAAAAACAAGTTCAACTTCGTTTTTTAAAATTATCTCTGTCCTTGCTTCTGGCTGCAGAACACAGAAATAGTGAAAGCTTTGATTAAAATCTTGTGATATTTAAAATGGTAAATTATTATTTTTCATTCATGTTTTCCACAATGTGGTCACAAGATCTTTTCATAACATCAACATGCATTTGTGTTCAGTGCATGTTAATACAGGATATATCGTTTGTAACCTCAAAATCGTAGAGCATTCAAAAAGTTATTAGCGAGTGAGTGAGTTCAATTTTACGCCACACTCAGCAATATTCCAGCTGTATGAAGGTGGTCTGTAAATAATCGAGTCTGGACCAGACAATCCTGTGACCAACAGCATGAGCATCTATCTACACAACTGGGACACAGTGACATGTCAACCAAGTCAGCGAGCCTGACCACCTGATCCCATCAGTCGCCTCACATGACGAGTATGGGTTACTGAAGATCAATTCTAACCCGGATCTTCACGGGTCACAAAAAATTTAAAATATGTAATGAAATATAAGAATAATAGAAGGAACATAACTCTCACCT